ACGTTTAAAAAAATAACGTCATATTTGCTGAAACTTTCACTAGATCCTGATAATTAGTACAGGAGACAAAATAAATCAGGTTCATCTGGCTTCTCCTTGTGGTCCTAATGGCATTTGTAAGAATCCACAAAGCCTGAACAAGCTGAGAAAGATAGTTGATTGTTGATTGAATGAGAATCAACAATTACAAATTGTGTTTTATCCCCGATTATTTGGATATAGTGAAAGTTTCAGCGACAATGACAAAAGTAATTTTTTGAAAAAAAGCTACCTACTGTAGCTTTAAGAAATGCTTTATTTTGCTAAGCTAAATGTTTTCAGATTTGAAGGATGAAGGATGTTGGATCAAGGTTATGTATTTATTATTATCCAACACAAGGTTGTACAAAGAAATGAAAGTTTGCAGTCACTTCATGTAAATTGATCTATAGTAGAAAATCATATAAAATAAATTAATATAAATAAAATCAAACAATATATATACAGGCTTTATACGTATATACATATGCTGCAAGGAAATCATTTTTTGCATCTTGAAGAATGTAAACAGCAGCAACAAGATAGTGATGATAATATGGTTTCATCTTCAGATAAACACAGAGTCCGCCTCCCTTCCTCCCTTCCTCCCGTTGGAGTCCTGCACTCTGTCGGCTTGCAACACAGTCCGTCCGTCAAGGATCCAGGATGTTGCAGGTCTCTGTAAAAATGTGGGCACAACAATCTCTGAAACCCTTTTGTTTTGTCCATTTCGCTCAGACTGAACATTAGCCAGCCTTAAGTCCAAGCTGGGCCAAGGTGGCTCCAATCCCGGCCTCTCTTCCTCTCCTCCTGGGGCAACAGCACCCACGTGGTGGGCTGGTCTGGCTGATCTCTCCGGGTGAATTGTCTCAGGATCACTGCTCTTTAATCCAAAGCCCACGCTTCCTTTTCCAATGACTGTAGGCTGTAATTATAATTATTCAGCAATAAAGTCGGAAACAGATTAAAACAAAGTTTGAAGGAGAGACGATTTTAGCATCTGAAAGTGCAGCCATTGCCATAGGAAAAAAATACAACTTAAAACAAAAATGTAACAAGTTTGAAGGAGCTACCGTGTTGCCATGGCGATATATGTTCATTGATTTATTTATTTACATGACATAGTTTGATTGTGAGTTGATATTTCTCTGAACAAAAATAGATTTAAAGTGAAAATAAGACAATAAAAAAGGACCAAGCAGTTGATTGTTGCCAGGTTTAATATCATTGTTTCTCTCACACTTAAATTGAGTGTTCTCCAGTGTCTCTGGTTAGTCTCTTTTTTCTTCTTGAAGGGAGTTTTGGAAATCTGCTTTGTCATCGGTTCTAATGTCAGGGACTGACATGACCACCCCCCCCTTGTTTTATTAATGACAAACAACATTAATCATTTCAGTCAGTTTGTCCAGAAATGTGTAAAATACTTTCTAGTCTGAATTGCAAATTTTAATTTAGGTGGATTGATGACACATGCTAGTTCAGATTTAGCACCGCATCATGTGTTTGTGTTCTGAACATTACATTCTTGTCTTTTGTGAATTGTCTAAAAAGCAGCAAGTCTCACTGTAGAAGGAGTACAAGACAAAGCAGGTGTCACCACATGTCAAGACCCCGGGATTCAACTAAGCTTCACAGTCTTCTGTTCTCTTCACTGGCCCTTGCCTGGCCATGCTGTGTGACATGCCTGGCTCACAAACATGTGACCATCTCTCCTAAGGTGTACAACCTGGCTAAAACTGGCCGGGCTATGCGTTACCCAGACACACCATTGGACCTAAGATAAAGTGGTTAGAAGCTAATAATGGTCATAACAACATCAACATGTGTATGTGTGTATAGAGGATATACATAGATGTCTATCATCTATAACTATAGCTGCAGGTTTCCAGGAGTAGCTTTAAATAGCAATGCTCTTCACGGTTTATTTCAAAGCAGATTTTACTTTTCAACACATTTCTGAAGCCTATATTGGCACATGGGTTTCAGTTTCTAAAGGTCAGTTAATGGAAAAATCAATTCTGCACTCAAGCTGGGTAGCTGAGGCTTTACAAGTACCCAAATGGACAGTTATGTAATCAATATGTGTTAAAAATAACACCCTTTCAGTTACATTTCAGCCACATTAAGCTGTTACACGGGGCACATTAGGAATGGGGTATCTTGGGCATCTTCTTATAACTTTGTTTTGGGGAAATGTTCTGCTTGAAATGACTATTTTAAATAGTCCAGGCACATGACAAGGGGAAAAAAAGCCTCAGGTGGCCAGCCAGTACTGTCAGATCTTGTCTGCATACCAATATTTCACCTGCATTATTGATTGCAGTGCTTTGCATCTTTTAGTCTTTTCCAGCCACAATAGACCCATGTAAAACATTATCCATTATGAATCTTGACATGCGGCTTTTTTGTCATGAGCTTGGCAGGGGGCACAAAAACATCTTAAGAAGTCTTGAAGTTATGGCATCAACCTGCTGTTTGTAGTCTGTGTGTGATAATCTTAGCAGCTGTGCATAAACCATCTGGAATTACAGCTTTTGCACTTCGAGCTCAACTGCCCCCCCCCCCCAGGATGTAACCTCTTTGCTTTCCCATTTTTTGTGGTTGCTGCATGTAATTCTCCAAGACACTGCCAAGCTAACATAAATAAATAAAAGAAAATAAAAACTAAAAAAAAATTAGAAAATTAGAATCAAGGGAAATAAACAATGTACCAACCAGTCTATCCACAGGCACAATAGGCAAATATCAACACTTCTTGTTTTCTTTTAAGGACATCCCCTGAGCTGTAAAGCTGCAGTACCCCAAAGTTGGTTTACCATCAGGAGTTATCCGTCATGTATTATTCCATGTGGCATGCAAATGTCTTTCTTACATCAAACGGGATATGTTCTACTTAAGCTCTAATCATGCAGTCAAATGTGAGTAGGGTGAGCAGAGAAAATTCTCTTTTTATGCTTAGAAAGCCAGCAGAGACCAGAAGAGAACAGAAGCCCTCTCCCTAT